GGTGTTTCCACGCCTGGCTAACTTGTGCTGGCCCCTGCCAGTCCTGATCAAAGACTAATGAAGAGCCACCAGCTTGTTCTCATCAGGCATATAGAAGTCTCTGTGTGTGACTTGGGGACAGAACCATGCCCCCAGGTACGCAAAGGACAGAGGCTTAGATTCCCAGGAACAGGTGAAATCCCTGTAAGTGAGGGATGGTGTCTCACCTGTGGTCTCTCTGTCCTTAGCAGCTGGAGAAGGGATCACATGCTCTCCAGTAAACGTTCTCCCTCACAGCACCTACCAAACAGAAAGAGAGCCCCTGTGTGCGGGAGGCAATAGCTACAACCCAATTGCCAGAGTGGCTCACAGCCTGCAATTGGGTTTTTTTTCCATTTATTGGAACGGAACTTCCTATGTTCCAACTTGCACCCATTGCCCCTCGTCCTGTCACTGGGAACCACCGAGAAGAGTGTGGCTCCATCCTCCTTCAACCCACCCTTTAGATATTTGTAAGTAATAATAAGGTCTCCCCTCAGCCTTCTCTTCTCCAGGCTAAAGAGTCCCAGCTCTCTCAGCCTTTCTTCATAAGGGAGATGCTCCAATCCCTCAATCATCTTGGTTGCCCTTCGCTGGACTCTCTCCAGGTTGCTGCTCTGCCGTACCCTGCAGTACCAGAGAGCAGCGCGCCAGTCTCCAACGCCAGCGCTTCCTTCTCCCATGCCGCCAAGGCACCCAGGCCCACAGAGCTTGGTCCCATGTAGGGAAGCGCTCTCCGATGCTGACACCCGCCGGATAGATGTGGGATTGCCGGGGCCAGTGCAATGCTAACGTGGGCTGACTTGGTGTTTGGCTCTGGACTGCCGAGCGCTGCTGCAGCAGCTGTGAAGTGCAAGTTACTACAGAGCAGGGTACTGTCCCTGATGCAGGGCTGGAGGTGATGAGAAACTAAAAAACCAGCAGACATGCAAGATACTGATTCCTACTCAGCTGTACACATGCCCTAAGAGGCACTTGGGAGACAGGGCTGATGTCAGACCCGGGGGGACTTTTGTATTGCTCATCTGCCAAGTCACGTCAGGGCTTGAGTCTCCGCACTTACCTCACTCCTCCCCAGAGTCTCGTGCTGTTACTGCTCCAGCCATCATTGATCTTCATCTGGCTGGAAAGGCTCTCAGCCTGCAGGAAGGGATACGCTGGCCCAGCACACCCAGGCACTGTAAATTTCAGTCTGGAGTTGGACAGGTTTCAGCAGCTCTCCATAGCAATCTCCTGAGACCCCACGAGGCCAGGACACAGCTGTGGGCTAAGTTAACTCCTGCGTGGCTTTGCAGTGAGGCAGGGCCATCCCTGCACTGAATAGCCCAGCCCAAGGACACAGTGGAGACACGCACACGCAGGGTTTTAAGTGATGGGCTCACCCAGCCTCACTGTGCCTCTCTACGCTACAGTAGGACCTGGAGGCCCAGAACCCACCTACATTAGACCCTATAGAAGCAGCACAAATAAGCAGCGATTCATTTCACAGCCCTCAGTGCCCCTCCTCACTGCCACTATGGGAAAAGAAACACACCTGCCCAATCATCACTTCAGTGGGCAAATTCCCTGGACAGTCTCCCAAGTGGCTCCTCGGTACAGCTGAGCCCCCCCCACAGCACACCCAAGCGTGGCGGTGTTTAGAACTGCCACCTCTGTGTAAGGCAGCCAGAGGCCCAGTCCCGTGCAGCACACACAACACATTCATGCATGCTGGCAGCACAAAGCAGCAGGGAGTTATGTCAGGCAGCCCCAGCAAATGAGCGGCTGCACCCCAGCTTCCCTCTGGTTTGGGCCCACGCAAAGACCTTCCCTCAGCAAGTCCCATCACTGCTCGATTCCCAGCCTCATCTCACCCACCTTCACCAAACACTGCTGCCTTCCTGCGGAGCATGGGCCAGAACCCCAGTAACCGCCACAGCTAACAAACGTGACCCACCAGAGTCCCACACCGGCCGGATTAACACAGGAATTTGGCTGTACTACAAAAGGAGGATTTGCTCAGAGGCAGAAAACAAGAGTATTTGCCATTTTGCAGAAAAGCGCTCGTGGGACAGGATTCAGGAACAGGATCCATCCCTTAACAGCCACAGTAAAATGATTCAAGGAATGTGCAAACAGCTTTATGTTTGCCACCCATCCTGTGAATGCTGTTTTGCCCCCCCCAAAAAAAAACCACCTCTCCTCTGTGCCACAAAGACCTACCCTGGTCGGCTGCACCTTCAGCCACTCTCCTCTGCTCTACCGCACCAGGCCTTCATAGCACTTTTTTCCTATCTTGACACACCTCCAGTGCAAGAGAAAGGCTGCTTCTCTTCTTCCCTCTCCCTCGTCTTTGGCTAAAGCACAGTCTGCTGGGCCCCTCTTAGACAGAGCGTGTTCACCTGTGTCCTCTTTCAAGAACAGACACGCTTCCCTGTGACACAACATTTTTCAGAAAAAAAAAACCAACCTTCAAAGTGGGAGCACAACATTCCCTTTTTACCTGCAAGCTATTAGCAGCAAAACCTTCTGCATTACACACAAATTCCCCCACTTAACTGCAACCCTCTCCTCTTCCAGCCGAAAGCCCCAGAATGTTTTGTCATGAGAAGCACCGATTTCCTGCACTGTTGCATACGGCAGCCTCAGTGCTTGGTGCTAACCGCGCCACACACCCCCTGCTTGCTGCAGACCTTGCACAGGCAATGGTGGGCAGAGAGCTCTCTGAGCTCCACGCCAACACCTCACCCTGAAGATTTGCCCTCCTCCCCCTGTAATCTGCTGCCTCCTGTTCTGTTCGTGATGTTGGCCTGAACCTTCAGACCACCAGCAAGAACTTGCCACCCTCCACCCTCAGATCCGGGTGCTGCAGAGCCACGCACACTGTCCGGCCCCCACAGCACCTCGTGCCAGAGGATGCTGAATGGAGGAAACACTAAGATCTAGTAAGAGCCAGCACAGACAGACTTTTTGCTACGGTTTTTACTGTAACACAGCAAAAAATAGCACCACCTTTCAGTAGCTGGGGCACAGTAACAGGTAAGGAAACAGTATTAAAATGTCAGGTTGTAAATGAACTGTTTCCAAGGCAATGCGGATCCTGCAACAGCTGCTCTGTTCCACCCCATCAAAGGCATTAGCACAATGGAAGCAGAACGCTGATTTTCAGGTGAAGGGTAATAAAATAACCACTCTTCCAGCAGAGTGCTAATACGTGCCAGCAACTCATAACAGGGTGAGCACCCAGCAACGTTCTGAAATGCAAGACTCCTGTTTCTTAATTAATACATGGATCACTCTAACATCTAGTTGATTCAGAGCTGTATTTCACTAAGATCTGAACACGCACAAGCCGGCTGACGGATGAAGTTCCTGCCCCTCAAGGCTGTTTCATCACTTGGAACTTACGTACCAACAGGAAAACATGACTACTTCCCTGTCACTCTGATCCAGGCCTATAACGCAACAGGTATAAATTACTTCATATGAGTGAAGTAAACTCATTAATACTCATTAATACATGCAATGCCCTCACTGAATACTTGTCTGATTAAGGACCGCAAGCACCTGGACATGCTTGGCTGAAAGAACTGGGTTTGTTCAGCCCGGAAACAGAAAGGCTACGAGGGGTTTTACTGCTTTCTGTAGCTCACTAATGAGAGGGTGTAGAGAACAGAGACAGGCGCTCCTCAGAAGTCCACAGTGATTAGAAAGAAGGTAACAGGTCCAAGCTGAAACACAGGAAATTTCAGTTAGGTGTTGGTGTGGGGTTTTTTTTCACTATGGGATTGGTCAAATATCAGAAGAGGGGTCCAAAGAAGTTGTGGGATCTCCATCCTCAGAGATATCCAAAACAAGACCCTGAGCATCATCCTCTGAACAAGAGGGTTGGACAAGAAACCCCCAGAGGTCTCTTCCAACCTGAATTGTTCTTTGACTGTAAATTTAAAACCGTAAGAAAGCAGATATTTCACTGTACTTCAGGCTGATGAACCTCGAGAGAAGTTAAACGTTCATGCACGCAGAGGAAGTAAGCCCTAACAAAGTGCAATATGATCACCTCACTGCCTGATTCACCACTACCTTAGTGTTATATGCACGTAAACAACTACATTTTTCATTTATTAAATTATTTTTTCTTCTAGCCGATCTTAACATGCAGCAGTAGCTTTAATAAGCACCTCAATATCTGTAAAGTAACTCTAAGACAACTTTCTAGGTGCTCTACTTATCTCCAACACACTTCACAAATATTAATTTTGCCTGCCCACCCATCCTCCCCCTCACCAACAAGGAAGTTGCACAACCCCAAAGCCAGGAGCCGCCCGCCGACGCACCACCCCGAGCGCGGGGGCGGACACTCCCACAGGGCAGCTCATGCCAAAACCCACAAAGACAGAAGACTTTCAGCCCTGATGCCCGGGGCACAGAGGCAAAACTCTGGAAGATGGCAAGGGAGAGAAAAAAGCAGCACATGACTTCAGTAAGAGCTAGTGACGTGACCCTCCTGCAGGGTCGTTTTGGCTTTGTGAACTCACATGGGGTTGGGGCACATCTCCTCAGGTGGTATCAATTGCCTCTTCTGCTCAGCTGCTCTGCCCTGGGATGTGCCTCCACCAGCTCCGCAATCAGCTGCTGCCATGCAACACCTGGGCCAGGCCAGGAGACATCCCTAATACCTCCAGCTGCAGCTGCACCTCCCTAAGCCAAAGCACAAAGAATTACCGGCTCCCTTCTCAGCAGAAAACAAAGCAAGACTCCTGACACTACTAATGCACTGAGACTTGCCTAATACTCAGGAAAAAAAGTACCAGGAAAAGTATCTGCACTCCATCTCTAAAAACATTAGCTTGATCAAAGGCAAAATTGTGCAAGACAAAGACACACAACAGAGAAAGACCAATGCCCGAGTTTATTTTAAACACAGACATTTCCCATTGAAATCAAGGAATAAAGATTAAGAGTCTCTTTTGCCATCAGCAGAATGATACAAATCCCATTCGTCACGTCTGCCTCTTGCCGTCAGTCTCTGGGGGGGCTTCCCCGCTTTCTCCCTCTGTGGACTGACCTTGAGATCCTGTATCTGCCGAGCTCTCCAGAAGCAGTTCCAAGGCTTCCTCACCTGCCACACGTCTCACCTTCTCCCCTTTGGCTGCCAGGATTTCCTCGATATTCCTTAACAGGGATTTGAAAACCAACAGTGACACTACGGCAAAGGCTGGAGTCAGGGGCAGGTTCACTCTCCCACACTTTGCTCTCAGGATTAACACTACGCAGCAAAGCACACGTGAGTATTGCCGCGGTATTTCTCCATAAGCAGTTTGGGAAGCAGATAAAACCACCCAAACCTTCTGGGACTGTTTTTATCCATTAGGATCAATAATTTAGCAATTACAGATAAACAGAAATTTTTAAAGATACCTCAGGGTGTTAGAAATCACTGAAACTCAGCAGCAGATGGGTCTACACATTTGAAACGCTTAGACAGGGAAACCTAGCAGTGATTTGATAAAGCCTGAGGGAGCACAGAAGAACCCCACAGGCAGTAATTCACCTGCTGGCACCAACAAGGATGCCCATGTGTCACACCACTGCAGCTTTACGCCATTTACTTGACTCCTAGATAGGGATGGCCAAGTTACAGGCGATTACAAAGCTCGGGTTGTGTGCTTTAAGGAACTGGATGAAACAGAATTATACCCAGCAAAACCCTTGGTTTTCTCTGAACCACGTTTCAAAAGCATCAAAGAAATAACGTATCATCTCAGAAAGATCCCGTTACAGCTCAGCCATCCGTTCCCCTCCTACACAAGAGCGCTGCTGGCGCACCTACCTCTTCCCCTCCAGGTCTGAAAACCATCCCAGGTTATCGGCCATGACGTGGTGGTTCCCGCAGCCGGGACATGTCACGATCACCACCCCCTTATGGTACGCCAATTTGGAAATGGTTTTTGCTGATCGGGTCTGGCAAACCTACAGAGCAAACAAAATGGATTTTACGACCACGGAAAGCGCAGCTTCTAGGCCTTTAAAGAGAAAACCACTTTATTTACCCCACTGAAAGGTTTCTTTCCCACTGCCTCATCTCTAACTACCGCAACCGGGTCGCGATGCCGCGCAGCTTTGCACCAACGCGTCCCACGGGCCGGACCCC